TTATACATCACATCATATACATTTATACAATTGATGAATAAAACATTTGACGAGTTTAATTCACACCACCTGTTATTTGATAAGTCGAGCAAATTTCTAGAATCCAGAGATCAGTCCAGTATGGAAATCGTTGCACAGTGATCAACTCTGTTGTTCCACCTCCCACATTACAACGGGCACATCTGGACTAAGTCGAGGGATCGCGTACTGTTCAAAGCCCTGCATCAAAGAAAAGTAATCGATACATGTGCGGAAACATGGGAACCACTAAGAATTGAAAGTAGGCAGTTGTAGATGTAAAAGGAACATATGGACTCAGTAGGCAACTCTACATCGCCCAAGAGCACGAAAAGCTATGTTACTCTCAAGCCAGGCACGCCATCGCCGGGGGTGGTGTTGGGTCGTTATTAGGAGAGCGACTGCCAAGCCAAGAAAATGATAGTTGGATCCTGACCCCACTCGACGGAAAATTCTCGGCTGAAAAACTGGAAATTTCTGAAGTTTCTCGGGAAAAAATGGAAAAAGTGGTAGGAAGTTGGGAAAATCTAGGAAAGTGGTAGGTAGCATGGGGGGAGGGGTCGTATTTGAGGATAGAATTAGGGGGATCGTGTTTTTCATGAAATGATTATAACGCGATGGCGTGCTCAGATTCAAGCACGACTTATTAGGCTGCCCTCATACTTTGCATCAGCGTACGCCACCTTACAGCAGCGTTTCCAGCGTATGTCAGCACCAGCAACTAGGAAATTATAGCCAGCGTATGCCAGATCTAGCGAACGCCAGCGTATGCCTGCGTTTACGCGGGCAATTTGTGAAGAAAACTGCTCACGAAAATGGGTATGTGACAAGAGAATCGTAATTCGCCGCGTTGGTGGGCGTCGTGTGCGGCGCCGCGCTCGCAAATGACGATGGTTCCAGGTAAAGGATGGCGACAACAAGCAATTCAGAACCTAAAATAGTCATGAATGTCTACGATGACGGGGTCTACATGAAGTCCGGTGCTCCAATCGACAGGTTAACACGAGTTAAGAAACTGTCGCGCCCATCGCCGCGCGCGGCGGAGCGACAAATTACGATTCTCTTGCCCGTCTCCCCACGAAAACGATGCCGTATCCGACGCAATGTATGGGCGCAGCCTTACGCTTCCTTCCAATTACAAATCGTTCTGTCACTTCCCAGAACTGAAGAATTCCCGCTCTCTGTGAAGACTACAAGTGATTCTATTTCTCTGCACTTCTCAGAGTGATTCCTACATTGTGTTGGGCTCCTGTCAACATTTCAAGCGACTAGGAAAACACGCGTACCGATCTAGCGTTTCAAGCGTCCACTAGCGTTTTGAGCGACTAAGAAAGTGTAGGTATCGATACTCGCTGAAAACACTGGAGATGCTCAAATTCCTAGATCAGTACCTACGCTTTCATAGTCGCTCAAGACGCTGACGCTCACTCACATTGCTACCGCAAAGTATGAACACAATCCTATGGATTGACCAATCCTTGACGTGGTGATCTACTCCGCGCCTACATGAATAATAAGTGTCACGGCTTACCTTTGGTCGTAAATTACTCACAACTCGATGAAGTCGCCGCACTTGGCCGTCTAGAGATTGATGTTCAGCATAAAATTCGTGTGCCACATCACCGTCTTCGTCAACGTATTGAGAACTTGAACACAATAAAATTACGGAGGAAAATTCAGACTAAGACTATTGATAAACTACCTGGGCGTTTGATGGACTAAGAAGATCTCGGGAAGAAGGCCTTTACTCTTCATAAGTTCAGCATACTTATTCAGAAAGTGTTCGTGGCGTGGTCGCACCACAGGAGGCTGCACCACTCTAAACAAGAATTTTGAATGACTAGTAATATAAGAGTACAGTAAACGCGGCGTTTTGGCAGTCATCACAGCACTGAGCCATTCACCAGGGCGTGCGGTGACGCGGCGCACGATCACAAATGAGTATCTCTCGTCTTGTGGAACGAAGTATAGATTTTTCCGTGCACTTATTCCCTTACGGCTCTATACACGATTCGAACGCCGGTATGTCATAACGCTATGGAACGTTTTGTTACGAGGACCCTGATTTTTTTGGGTTGCTCTTTCCCCGGAAAATTTATTTGCGGAAGCAGTACCTCCACGCGCGACCAAAAAGTCCATAAAAACTATCAGGAATTAGGCGGATTTGGACTCGTTCCAAGACTTTTCGCCTATGTACCTATGTGTGCATACATATGCACACCGTATCTCTATATCTCGAAGATAGAGAGGGCGTGACTGCATACTCCACTTGGACGTAATGGCAGCTGCGCTTATGTTGGGATATTGTCGTTTTAGTACAACTGCGACCATGTTTTGTCTAACAGAATAGGATAACAGTTGTGTCAAATGAAAATATCCCACAATCAACGCATCCAATGCAAGGTTCAAATGAAGCACGCAGCCACGCCGGAGCTGGTGTAGCACGCTGATCGCTGATCACGCACGCTTGCCACACGGTCTGGGGATCAAATCCTGTGCCGGTTTCCGCGCGAGGCCAACCAAGCCTTCACTGTCGGAAACGGTAAACTGGTAGCGGACTTTCTGGGAGGATAAGAACACTTAGTTGTACATAGTCTGGCTCCCGGAAGTCGTTGTATTCATCACATTCAATAAGTCACTACGACTCTGAATTGAAGTAGAATGCGTGCTGCATACCAAAAAGGGCTGATTATTGGAGAACACTTATCCTTTTCATCGTTAAAAGGCCATGTCTCAAAAGCTGTTATAACAAGGCAGCCAATATGAAATGAATACTCATTAACACTTTAGTACAGATCTCATAACACATGAGGTTTAGGAGCGTTCCGATTCTCTCATGCCTAGTAGATTACGAAGCAAGTAGAATATACTCCACGCATGCTTTGGCTGAAAAGCTTAGAAGGACGAATAAGAATCTAATCGAAAGTGATACGCTGTACTTTCAAGGTGCACCAACCAGTAAAGAACGAGTAAATCCTTACCTCATTAACTGCAGAAGCTGTCGAGTTTCTGGTTTCTTTTCGATGTGAACTGGTAAATTGGCCCATAACAAGTGGAATGGTATCACATTGAG